TTTTTAATGGTCTTTAAGGTTATTTTGATAAATTGAGTATACTTTTTTAAAAAATTAGAAAAAAAGGTTTTCTAAAATTTAATTATTTTTTTTAATCATCTTTAAAAAGTAATATATTTTTTCATGTCAAATAATTTTAAAAAGAATAAAAACTAATATTAATTTTACATAATTACAAAGCAATCAAAAGTTGTACATTAATAATGATGATAATAATAAAAAAATCTATTTTAGTCAAAGATGCAAATATCACAAATATCAAATTTGAAATCCATTTCTTAAAAACTGAAAAATATTTTCAAAAGTCTATTATTTTTTTGTATCAATATTTCCCATTTTCATTCGTTTTCCCAAAAAATTGAAAAATATTTACTAAATTGTCTACTATAGTTAATAACATTTTTTACATATATTTTCTTTCAGTGTAAATATATGGAATAAAAATTACATGCGTCCGAATTTCAATGTTATCAGTCGTTATAGACACTGACTAATTTTTTTTTACTGTTATCTTTATCCCACTTATTTAGATTCTAATAATAAATTAAATGTCAGGGTAACAATTTTATATAATATATTAGAAAATTTTAACTTTTAATATTCATAGTAAAAGTCACGTCACTAATCTTGAAATAGTTTCTGAATGAACCCTTTATAAAAAAAAAAAAAATAGTCTGATGACTTTTTTCGCCTCTGCGGGTCCTTTATCAAATACATTTTATCAAACCAATCCACTTTGAAAAGTCAGGGCCGCGACTAATACGTTCTTGATAACCCACGCGCGCCTTTCAATTCACATGTAGGTGTATCAAGAATAAGACACATATATATATATATTTATATAGGCCCAACCGTGATGATTTTTTTCTATAGTACATATTTGTCTATTTGATAAATAATCATCTTATCACTTATCTATTAAACACTATATAGTCTATTTGCCATGAAGGAAGTATTCGAATCTCCAATACATCAAATAATCGCGGTTTTTAACTCAGACTATATATAAAATTTTTTTTAAAAATTTCGCATTTTTTAATTATCCTCGAAAGAATAACGAAATCGTTTGTTTAGGCAATTTTGTTTCTTGTAACCAAATTTTGATTGGCTAAAATAAAGACGTAGAGTTATCTCAACCAAACATTTGGTTAGGCAAACAAAATTATTTGGTTGACCATTTTTAAATTCCAACCAAAATTTGGTTTCGACAATAAAATAGTTTGGTCAACACAACAAACCCAATGGGAAAAATACCATTGGCGTATTAATGGCCCAATAATGGGAGCCAGGGATGCCAATATAATTTCAATAATGGACCATTATTGGTAAAGTCATGGGCTGTTCACGCCGATGCCAATGATTGGCAACCATCATTGGCAACCAATAATTATCCAATATTAAAAATTTTAATAATAATTTTAAAAAAATATTTATTTTTATTATTTTGTAATAGTTATTATTTTATTTTTAATAATTAAATTAAAATAAAAAAATAGTCATCAAAGTATTAGTGAAACTATTTCTTTCAAAAAAGAGTTTGTCTCAAATCCAATAAATAGGAGAGACATCGGGCAGAAAAAAATTTCGACAAGAAAAAAATTTTTGATCACTGCTTATATACCAATCTAATGGCATCTCAACTGCGAGAAACAGTTATGATGTTCGCCCTCCCAGTGGCGTTGAGCGAACTAAAGTCCGGAGCTGAGCCATAAGCGCAGCGCGGGAACATTTGAAAAATTTCATGTTATTAGATATTTTATTCTATTTTAAATATGACAAATAATTAACTTAATAAATAATTAATGTCATAAATAATTATTAATAACATAATGTCATACTTAATAATTCGTTAATTATAAAATAAAATATCTAATAAAATCAAATTTTTCAAATGTTCTCGCGCTGCGCTGATAACTCAGCTCTGGACTTTAGGTTGCTCAACGCCACAGGAGGGCGAACATCATAACTGTTTCTCGCAGTTGAGGTGCCATTAGATTGGTATATAAGCAGTGATCGAAAATTCTTTTTCTTGTCGAAATTTTTTTCTGCCCGATGTCTCTTCTATTTATTGGATTTGAGAGAAACTCTTTTTTGGAAGAAATGGTTTCACTACTACTTTGATGACCATTTTTTTATTTTAATTTAATTATTAAAAATAAAATAATAATAATAATAATAACTATTAAAAAATAATAAAAATAATTTTTTTTTAAATTATTATTAGAATTTTTTAAATTGGATAATTATTGGTTGCCAATAATTTGCCATTAATTAGAATTATAATAATTAGAAACTGAAGCGTCATTTTAAAAGACATCTTTTACGAGGATTGACTGTATATTACCATACATTGAAAAAAATGTTTAGTCAGATCAATCAAAATTTGGTTGGGCCAACAAAAAAATTTTTTTGGTATTTAAGCAACCAAAATATTTGTTTGAGTCAACCAAAAAAATTGGGTTGAGTGATTTTTGTTGGCATAACAAAAATGTTTGGTTTGGTTACCAACAATTTTGTTAGTAAAATTAAAAATTTTATTCCACCTTATTTCTTTTCATTTTATCTTTTTTATTTAATTTATTATTTATTTATTATCAATTTAACGTTTAATTTATATTTATCCAATTGAGATATTTGTGAACTTTAAAAAATCTCATCTCCTAGGATCGAACCTCTGTTTTTAAACTGCGAGTGGGGAGCTCTGACCACTCGACTACCCATCTTTGTGAGAGATTTAAATTAATTGTTCTCTTCAGGTACGAGCTGAGAGCGAATTCAATTATTTGGTTGTCGTAACTAAATTTTGGTTAGGACAACAAACGATCATTTGGTTTTTTACATCAAAACTATTTTGTTGTGTTAACAAAATTATTTAATTGTCGTAATCTTATTTTGGTTGGAATTTAAAAATGGTCAACCAAATAATTTTGTTGGCCTAACCAAATGTTTGGTTGAGATAACTCTACGACTTTGTTTCAGCCAATCAAAATTTGGTTACAAGAAACAAAATTGCCTAACCAAATGATTGTGTTACAAACACAAAATATTTTTTTTCAATGTAAGTAGAAATAATAATAATAATACGATGATGACAATAAACATATCATCGTGAACATGTGACTTTGGATGGTTATTTAATAATAATGTAATCGTAAAGGTGAATGTTCCCAATGGGAAATTGCCATTGGTTACGATTGGACAAATAATGGGCCAAGAATGGTTTCCAATCGTTTTTTTCTTGTCAAACTATTGGCACACAATATTGGACCGCGATTGGTAAAATCTTGGGATGATCACGATGTTGCCAATCATTGGTAGCCAATGTTGTTTCATCATTGGCTGCCAAGAAAAAAATCGGTTTCTAAAAAGCTTGGTTATTAATTGGCTACCAAGATTGGACCATTATTGGAAGCCGATCGTTGGTTTTCAATAATGGTCCAATCTTGGTAGCCAATTAATAACCGAGCTTTTCAGAAACCGATTTTTTTCTTGGCAGCCAATGATGAAACAACATTGGCTACCAATGATTGGCAACATCGTGATCATCCCAAGATTTTTTTAATCGTGGTTCAGTATTGGGCACCAATAGTTCGAGAAAAAAATAAATTTCACACATTACAAAAAAAGATAGTTAAAATATCTTCAACCAATAAAAAGGGAAGAATATTTGCAAAGTGCGAACAAAATTGAACTGAATCCTTGACGACAAGGGAGGCTATTCTTATAGTGTTAAGGAAACATCTTGTTAGTGAGCAGAAACGACTACCGCACACCCTATACGTTACTTGTCGGAATTATTTCCATGCGCGTATGTTTTTGCGCAGCGCGGGGATTTTCAAATGTCATTAGAAACATTGTAAGAAAGATGTAATAAATTTTTATTACACTACATTAAAAAAAATTAATTTGCCGACAAAAAATTTTTGGGCTGAAAAAGTCTTTTTATTTAAATATCTAATTAAACGAATCAAAAATTTATTGATTTTAAATTTCATTTTTTCATAAATCAAATCACAGCACAGTTATTTAAAAATTTATATCTTTTTAATTTAATTAGTTTTAAAAAAATTTTATTTTAAAATTAATTATTTAAAAATTTTTTGAAACTAATTAAATTTATTGATTTTTAAAATTCAAGTTTTTTAATTTGACTGTGTTTAAAATTCATTTGAAATAAAATCTAAGTATTTTGAAATTTATTTTTTTTTTAATTAAAATGTTTATAAAAATTTATTACTAATTTTAATTTTATTTCTATGCAAATTCAATTACCTATTTTATAAATTTAATATTTTCTATTTTAATTGTGTTTAACTTCAATTACATTAGAATCTAATTGCTTGGCAATTTACCTTTCAAATTTTAATTATTATTTTATTTTTCAATTCAATTGTTTTTAAAAATTATTTACTATTTTTAATTTCATTAACATGAAAATTTAATTTTATTATAAATTTAATCTTTTTTATTTTAATTATTTTATAAATTTAATTACAAAAATACAATTATTTTGCAATTCAATTGTTTTTAAAAATTACAATTTTATAGTTAGTGAAAGTGAATTTTTATAAATTCATCCTTTTTATAGTAATTGTTATATAATTATTTTATAAATAATAAAATAAATTATAATAATTTTGCAGAAAAAAATGTAGTAAAGTGTCGAATTTATGTAATTGGAATTTTTTGTTTTTAAACAGCATTTTGTAAGATATAAAATAAAATGTGAATTGTTTACTAATTACCATTAATGGAATGAAGGAAAAAAAGAGAGAAAAATCATGATTTTAAATGTTTTACTTTTGAATAACTGATACAAAAAAGGGAACTTAGAAAAGACAGTGACGAATTGTGAACCCTTTAATCAAAGAATATAAACATTGCTTTTTTACATAAATATCTTTCTCATATTCATGAAAGTGACAAAACAGTAGAAAATTGGCTTATCGATTATTTTATACAATAATGAAAATAATAATGAAAAATAATGAAAAAAAATTTTAAACAATATTTCCATTGTCATCCGGTCTAGGAATTTCGTTTAACTGATTAACAGTTAATTCGTCAATCATTACTGGCGTATTATCAGCTTTTGAATTTTCTAGATTTCTATTTTTTCTCCCACCTTCTCTATCCCCAGATTGTGCCAGCCATGTCCCTATAGCGCTAGAAACATCGCTTTCTTTCGCTTCTTTTATTTTAAAAGTAATTGAAGCTGAAAAAAATAAAAATTAGCATATTCTATTTAAGAGAAAATATCAAAATCATTTTAAAATTATACCTGCAATACATGAATAAAGCGCAGTTGCTGAAAAATCTAATTTTCCGACTCCTTTAGACTTTTTTCCTTTTCCGGAATATTTTATTTGTACATCTTTTTTAATTAGTGATGGCATCACACATTTTACAGCTTCGCGAACGTTTAAAGAACTGGCTATTTGACGCAAAATGTGGGTTTGCTATGAATTAAAAAGTGTTAAAGATTTAAAGGTAAGTAAAATTAGAGTATATACTTGTTATAAATTTTGTACATATTCTCTTAGTTAAATTAATTTTACTTTTCATATTTATAAAAATTATGTTGTAGAAAATAAAGTAGATATTTACCAAATTTTGTCGCAATTCTTCATTTTTTTTTATTTCGATTTCAAAAGTTTCGAATTCTTCGCAAGTTTGAAGTGGCAGCTTATTCATTAGAGGTTTTTCTAAAAACGACTGAACAGTTGATGCTGACATAGCAGCCTTTACAACGTCTATTATTTCGTCACTTTTATGCTTAATATCGTACTGAACTCGACGTTCCATAGAGTTCATTTTTTTTTCAATGAAGTCCATCATTCTCGTCTCTAAAAGATTTAAATGTTCAAAAATTTTTTCCACGCCTGTAAACAATATAAAAAAAGGTTATTTCTAATAGTGATATCAGTGATAAGTAAATAAATCTAAAAAATTCAACTTACTATCTGCTGTAGTTTCAACGTTTAACTGCGAACCATTTACGTTTACTTCTTCAGTAGTTAAAGTCCTTAAATTTTGAACTTCGGAATTGTCAAAAGAATCAGGTTGATATTCTTCAGAAATTAGCGAGTTTTTTAATAGAGAATTTCCTACAAATTACATTTAAAAAATAATAATTAATTATTGCTCATCAGAATTTTACTTAATAAATATTAAGTTTAGTTAAAAATCTAACCCTTAAATTCTATATAAATCTAAAGCAATAACTGATTGAATTTTAATTAGTAATTTTTTACTATTGCAATCAGTGACTTCCGCTAAGAAAATCACTAATTAAAACCATGAAAAGTTGTTCATTGAATTGAAGAATTAATTAATTAAAAATTAATTAATTAATTAAAAACTTCTAATGTTTACTTCATATTACTAAAAAACTGTTCATTATTTTTCAAAAAAATTAAAATATTTTTTGAAACTTACTCTCTTTTACTTTGGAAGAAAATTGTTCGGAGGAAAATCTAAATTTGGTTTCTGCCATTGATTCTTCCTCGCTTGAAGAGGAATAAGATAATCGTCTTTCTAATTTAGAAAAGTCATCATTTTATCTTAAATATATATTTTCAATATGGTGTAAAAAATATAATGAAGCTTTAACTTTTAAATATTTTTCTATGATCATTTTATAGAAAATATTTTAAAAGTCAATGCCATGAACAGGAATAAAACTTACTTTTTCTATTCTGAACAATTCGAGGTTCCTTACTGGTAATTTTAGTCCTTCCATTCGTGGAAAAAGAAGAAGAGGATTCACCAGAAAAGTCCAATTTATTTAAACCTGAGAATATATCCATGAAAAAAGTTAATGATATAGATTAAAATGATTAAAAAGTATAAATTTAAGTAATTTTGGTGTCTATAAAATTTTAAAAAGTTTTTATCTAAAAAATAAAAAAGAAACAAGAAAACTTATTAAGAAAACAAATAAAAATATATAAAACCTGCATCATTATCTTTTTCAAGATTCATTTGTGGAATATTTTTTAATACACCTGCAGCATCTTTTAGAGTAAGCATTCTTAGTTTCTCAGGAGAATTTACATCAGAATTTTTCGTGTCAGTATCAACTCCGCTGTTATTCACAGTCCCTTCTGAACACATTCTTTCCATTCTTCTATAGGCTTGTTCATAATTACCTTCAAATATAAATAATATAAATTAAAATAATAATAAATTATTATATAAATATAATATAATATATAATAATAATTATTATTATATAAATTAAAATATATTAAAAAAACAAATATATCAAGAAGTGAACAAGTATACAAAATAATTGATAAAACTAATGTTAAGAATATGGTACAGTAAACTTATTTAAAAATAATTTTTAAATAAGATTATGAAACAATAGGGTTAGACTTTCTGAAACTGATCACCTAACATTACAAAAGTACAATTTCTGAAATTGTTAGACCAAAAAGATTTGTGTTAAAGTTACTAACAGTTAAAATTTTTAGCAAAGTTATAAAAAAAAATTTTTTCTCCAGTTTCTGTTAACCACTTTACTTACAAAAAAGGTTCTTCTCAATTTGAAATGTATTATTAAAAAATTATTGTTATAAAAATTGTTTATTTCAAATAGTTCTTTTAAAAAATGTTATTAAAACAATAGTGTTCTTTCCTTCCTTTAAAAATTTTAAAAATTGTTTGGAAAAATCAAATCGTTAACAAATATAGCACTCAGCAAGAATAATGTCATTTAATAATAAATTAATAATTGAATAATTAATATTCTTCAATGAAAAACTATGCCCGATTAACATTTTTCTCCATACTTTTGCTTACACTTTTTTATTATTTATAATAAATATTACTGATTATAAAATAACATAATATATTATAAATAACGTAACATCTCTTTTAATCGTATATCATTGTTTTCTTAACCATTTTATAATAAAATGAATTTTAATGCGGTTTTAAACAATGTTTAATTTTTAAAGGAATATGAAAAACACTTTTTTAAATTATATGTTAAAAATAAACTATTTAATTTTAACAAAATGATTTTACTTCAAAAATTATTCACTGACTTTATTAGATTATTAAATTATACTTACGAGCATCTGCAATTAGATTAATATTAAAATTTTTCCATGTCGATACAGGAGTAATTTCTTGACGTATCCATTTATCAACATTGGGGTAATCCTCCTCCTCAGGATATTTACATGTCCATTGATTATTCTTGAACATTGTCCAAGATGCGGGAACAATGTCAATGCATTTTTTTGTCACATTTTTTGAATTTTGTGCTTGTGTGATAAATTCTATAAGAAAAAATTTGGACTTCCTTTCTTTATCTGCTGTTGACATCTGAAATGTTTAAAATGCTTAAATGAGAAGTTCTATTATATTTCTGTCAATGTCATTGACATCTAATTTTTAAAAATTATGAAAATAATTTAAACCAATTATAAAAAAATTCTATACTACATTTTTCTAATTTATTGCTTTATTAATGTTTTAATCGTATTTAAAAATTATTAAATTTAACAGCATGTGAATGCTAAAACACGTGCGGGCACGTAGTCGTCACGTGCTTAATTTTACCGGTTAGATTTTGCGTAAATTCTGTATGTATTTAGCTAAAATTCTAAAATGTCATGTGAATTATAATTAAATAATTTATCAATTTTTCATTACTCTTCTTCTAGAATTTCACCGAAAATATTTATATTCTATTGTTTAATGAGTATACTAAAAAGCATTTTAAGGCAGATTTTAGGTTATGTCAAGGGATAAAATTCCTCTTTTCATGCAGAATTTTCTAAATTCATTAATAAATTTTGTTCAATGTGATAATTTTAGTATTATAAATACGTTAAAGAAATGATAATTTGAATTACATACCTTTTAGAAATCACTTTTGAAATTGCACTTTAATCAGATGAATTCAAATGTAATTAAACAGTTACCGAAAATCAACTGTGACTAGAAACTGCAATGATGTTCACTTATTTCATAATCACTGTTGCCAACTTCCAAGAAATAATTTTATAATTTTATTAGTTTCGCATGTATTGTTTTATTACCAAAAAAGTGTTAACATTTTATGTTATAATTAAATACTTGAATTATTTTCTAAATGTAAATTGTATTATTAAAATCTTTTGAGACTACAAATATTTTTAAAAAATAATTTTTAAGATGAGATTAAACTGTTAAGTATTTAAAATGAAGACCGCACATGCGCGCTTTATATATAGCAGACTACTCGTGCATAGCATTATCTTGTATGTGTTGTTTTGAAGAACGAAGTATTTTTCCAAATTTAACAAACTTTTTAATTGTTTTTTAATTCTTTGTTTATTATTTCCATAACATACCAAGACTTGGAATAACGGATAATTATTAGTTTTCCGATTAACCGTTATAATAGAAATAATATAAAGCACGTTAAATTAAACACGTTTTCTTGATGTGCTATACAGGAGCAGTTTATTTTATCAAAAATATAAAAAAGGGAGTAAAAATAGGTAAATAAACAAGGTAACCTAAAATATAACTTAAAAATATAATGCAGCAGTAATATATATTTGCTGCAAATGCAGAAAGCATAAATATATATATATATATTATTTGAGGTTATGTTAAAGTGTGTGTTAAAGTGTTCACATTACATACAAATAGATTATTAATATTATAATATTATATTATATTAAATATTATTATTTTAAATTAAAAAGTACTTAAGAATAAAAAATTATTTTCAATTTTAATTTAAGAATAATTGAGACAGTTTGTGCAGAAACAATATATTACATAAAACAAAATTGTTCAGGTATCAATAAAAATGGTTTTTTTTTAAATATAAGAATTTTTTATCAATTCTATTTTTTGCATTATATTCTATTAACATATAGGTTCAAAAATTCATTATGATTAATTTATTTTTTAATTAATATCGGGTTTAAAAAATTTAAATAAATTTGTCTTATAAATTGTTGTATCTATCCAACATAAAGTGTAAAATACAAAAAATGAGAAGAAATAAGTGTATTATCACAATTTTATTAAATATTTAGTAAAATATCTTAAAAATACTAAATTTTATTACTTTTTATTGAAATTTAATGTGCCTGAAGTTCTGAACTTTCAAATGAACGAACAATTTATTTACTAAGGTTTTTATTTTCAATTTTTATTATAAAATATATATTCTGCATTCAAAAATACATTTATAATTTATTAAATGTTTAATATACATTTTTATTTTCCATTGCTGTATTAATGTTTAAAAAATTTATAGACCAAAAAATTATTTCGTTCATTTGAACGTTCAGAACTTCAGGCACATACATTTTATTATTAATTCATATTTTTAATAATTTCTTTTTCTCCTCTTGTATTTATTGTAGTAGTAATTTTTCTAAATTTTTAGATAAAAAAAAATATTCGTTCATTTTCATATTCCAGTTTTCAAGTAAATAATTTGAGTTCGTTTCAATTTTTTTTTAAATTATTTTATTTTCAAGAAATATTAATGACCTTTATAGTTACAACTTAGATATTAATCTCGATTTTTTATTTCAAAGTGATATTAGACAAAATTTTATAATACATTTTTTAAAAATATGTATCAAATCTTGTGCTCATTTTTATTTTATAAAATCATCCTACTCAAGGAATTAATCAAAAATTTATTTTTTAGGCAAGATGATGGAAAAAATTCAGATTCTTTTTAACATTGCAAGACTTTTAAGTTTAATAAGGAAGCTTACTTTTTTCGCCAATTTTTTAAATTGTGCACTATGAGAAATTAAATATCACATTTTATTTCCAAAATGAAAGTTTATTATGTGAATGCTGTAATATATCATAAAAAACACTGTAGAATAAATATTATGTTAATGCAAAAATTGTGGAATGTAAAATCATTAAAAAAATTGAAAATCTTAAGAAATTTTAATGCATATTTCTTTTTTTTAGGTGAAAATAAATCAAAATGTCGGTTTACTACCGAACCAAAAAGTATCGAGCTTTTAAACGAGAGTTAAAAAATGAATCAATAGAAAATGATATTAAAGTCCAAAAACAAAATGATAATAAATCTGATGATATTTTATTTTCTGACATCACTGACGCTGGTACGCACAGCCAAAATTATGAAGACCAAAGACCTTTAACTGACGATGCAGTAATCATTGATAATAATTTACATACTGAAGATTTGAAAAACGATGAACTTTTATGTATTGATGAAAATTTTCACACTAATGAAGATATTACTTTTAATCAAGATTCAAATTTAGATGATACTATTGATACTGATTATAGCAGTAATTCATCAGAGGAGTGCGATGAAGAATTGGAGTACCTTTCGGAAAATAATCCACAACAATCTTTAAGTGATGCAAAAAAAATTGAAGATCAAAATTTGAGAATAAGTTTGCAAGTTTGGGCAATTAAATATAGAAAAAATTTAACTCGAAAATGTATTGACGATTTATTAAAAACTTTAAAAAATGGAGGTGTTAATAATATTCCAGAGTCATCGTCAATTCTTCTGCCATCGCAATCTACATCCGATTTTGACGTAAAAGTCATGGAAAGTTCTCGAGGGAAACTTGGCTGTTTTGCATATTTCGGACTTACTGAAAGGTTAAAAAAAATCATAGATCCATCCATATTTGTTGAAAATACGATAAGTATACTTGTAAACGTTGATGGAGTACAAGTTTTTCAAAAATCTCGAGAGCAATTATGGCCTATCCTGGGCATGATTGATAATAAAGATTATAAATCAGCGCCTTTTATTATTGCCGTTTTTGGCGGTAATGCAAAACCCGGATCAGCAGAAGAATATTTTCAGCAATTTGTAGAAGAGATGAATTCTCTCATTTCTAATGGAATTAAAATTGGAAACACTTTTTACACTGTAAAGTTTCAAGGATTTGTGTGCGATACTCCGGCCAGAGCTTTCATCAAAGGATGCAAAGGTCACACCGGCTTCAATTCTTGTGAAAGATGCGAAACACGTGGTATAACAATTAACAGAAAGAGAATATTTCCAAAAGTTGATTCCAAACTACGAACAAATGAATCATTTAGAAATAAACGTCAAAGTGATCATCATGTAACGGATTGTTACCTTTTGAAATTAATTAATTTCGATCCAATACGACATGTTTTTCTAGATTCTATGCACTTGTTATCCGAAGGTGGCATGAAATACTGCATGGAAGAGTGGTTCACTACTAAAAAGCGAATTGCAAAATTAAGTGTTGAAAAACGGAACAAGTTAAGTGCACTGTTCAAAAGCGCGTCAACAGGAATACCTATTGAGTTCCAGCGAAAAACTTTAGATACTGATAATTTGCAATACTGGAAAGCTACACAATTTCGTTTTGTATTATTATATTGTAGTGCTATTGTTTTGAAACATGTTTTAAATTGTGACGCATATAAACACTTTATGCTCTATTTTGTCGCTTGTAGAATTTTATGCTCGTCTGAGTTAGCGGTAAAGCATAAAAATTATGCAAAATCACTATTAGAAAATTTTTTCATTTTAATGCCTACTTTCTTCGGGGAAGATTGCCAAAAAATGAATAACCATAATCTTCTTCACGTTGCGGATGATGTGGAACATGTAAGAAAGTGTTTGTCAGATTTTACGGCATTTCCTTTTGAAAATTGCCTTGGTTTGCTGAAAGCGTTAATAAAGGGACGAAAGGATATTGTACCGCAATTGATCAAAAGAATTTCAGAAATAGAAAATTGCCCTGAATTATCACCTGAATTTAAATTAACAGTAAATTATCCAGTTCAGCGGAAACAAAAAGATATTATTCTGGAATACAAAAACAAATCAACAAAAGAAATTCAAAGTGTATTATTAAAAGAAACGAAAATTCGCACTGTTAAACCCGACAATACTATTCTGTTAAATAATGGGACATTTTTTGAAGTAATTAGTATTTCAAAGAATAGTGAAAATATGATATTTGTAGAAGGATATACAATGGAAAATTTAGGCAATTCTTTCGACTATCCTTGCGACTCAACATTAATAGGAATTTGGAAGATAGGTCCAAAAAACACAAGAAAAGTTTTGATAAATATAAATGAAATAAAAGAAAAGTGTATAGTTTTGGAAATTGAGAATGAAAATCATGCTGTATCTTTCCTACATGTTGAATAAAATAATTCCTTTTAATCAGGTAAATAAATTATTACTATTATATTTTAATATTAACGAAAAGTACATAAATCAATAAGTATTTTGAATTTATAGTTAATAAAACTAACAATAAAAAATTTTTTTTTTCAGAAGC